GTCGGTTTATTTGGGTAACTATGAATGGGGAAAAACAACAAGGAAGCAGCTGAAGGGGATAACCTGTGTTTTCAAATGTCTGTGTACAATGCACAACGGGAAGTAAACAAGATGACGTTGAATTCTTAATATAGACAGCAAATACTATTACTGAAACATTATTGGATGAGACTCATAACTGGAATGTGGTAATTTAAAGGTGTTGTTGTTTAGTCGTTTAGTCGTGTCCGATGCTGTCTTCCACAGGCCATGCTGTCTTCCACTGCCTCCCGGAGCTGGGCCAAATTCATGTTGGTCGCTTCGATGACACTGCCCAACCATCTCATTCTCTGTCGTCCCCTTCTCCTCTTGCCTTCACACTTTCCCAACATCAAGGTCTTTTTCAGGCAGTGTTCTCTTCTCATGAGATGGCCAAAGTATTGGAGCCTCAGCTTCAGGATCTGTCCTTCCAGTGAGCACTCAGGCTTGATTTCCTTTAGAATGGATAGGTTTGTTCTCCTTGCAGTCCAGGGGACTCTCAAGAGCTTCCTCCAGCTCCACAAATCAAAGGCATAAATTCTTCGGCAGTCTGCTTTCTTTATGGTCCAGCTCTCACGTCCATACATCATACAGAAAAAAACATAGCTTTGACTATGCAGACCTTTGCCAGCAATGTGATGTCTCTGCTTTTTAAGATGCTGTCGAGGTTTGTCATCACTTTCCTCCCAAGAAGCAGGTGTCTTCATTTTTTGCATTCTCCTCTTTCACCCGCATTAAGAAGTTCTTTAATTCCTCCTCACTTTCTCACTCACTTTAAAGGTACCACTTCTTTAAAATTAATAGATTAAATAGGAAATGAGAAGGAATAGCATTATGTGTATGGGATGTGTACATCTGTGAGGAGATCCATCACCTGAATCATGGAAATCTTATGGAACCTATTTTGTTAAAAATCACAGGAACAATGACATCACTGTGAGGATCTGCTACAGACCTTCATCTTGGATTACGTATGGTTTCCTAGACCCAAACATTCAAAGAGGAGTGGTATTCTTGTATTTGGAAACTTCAGCTATTCTGATATTTGTTGGAAATACAGCTCCTCTAACAATGTAAGGTCCAATGAATTCCTTGCTTTTCTGGCAACATCATTTTCAGAATATGGAAGAAGTGAAAAGAGGATTGGCTGTTCTGGATTTGATTATTATCAACAGGGGAGGAGTGGTTGTTGATGCAGAAGTAATGGGAATCTTGAAAAGACATCACCAAGCTGATAAAATGTGGTAGATGAATTTGTAGGTGGTTGACAGAATTTGTTCAAAAAGTGCTCACCAAAGGGTCCTCAGCATGCTAAGGAGAAGTGACTACACAGGAACGAGAAGACGCAAGAAAGAAGGGAGATATTTCTCTAGGCTGACGGCAACCTGAGTTTTAATAAGAAAAATCTAAAGTTCTATATTTAGAAAAGAAAAATTAATGGCACAAACATAGGATATCTGGCATCTGACTTGGCAATAGTAAGGATGAAAAGGATCTCGGGATCTTAGTAGGCTACAAGTAAATGAGTCAACAGTGGGATGAGGTAACAAAAAACCTAGTGTAATTCTAGCCTGATTCAGTAGGTGTCAAGAGCAAGGAAAGTAGTAAGGAAAGTACTAATACTATATTCTGCCTTAATCCACTAATACTGTGTCCAGTTCCAGCATCATAGGCTAAGCAGTATATTGAAAAACTGAAATGTGTCCACAGAAGAATGGCCAGGATAATGAAAGCTGTGAAATTCAAGCCTTAAGTGGAATGGTAGAGGGATTTCGCAATATTTTGCCTGGAGAAGAGAAAACTGAAAAACAATATATCAATCATCTTTAAATGTTTCAAGGGCTGTTATGTGGGAAGTGAGCATGTTTTGATGGCTCCACATGGTCAGAAGTACAGTAGCATATCTGAATGAAAGAAGGCAGGCTTCAACTGAACATTAAGAAGTGCTTCTGGACAATGAGAGTTGTTCAGCAGTGGAATTGATAACTTTTGATGATACTGGACTCTTTGTTGGAGTTTTTAAAACAGAGATTGGATGGCCATTTGTTAGGAATATTTCAGTGTCAGCTGTGGGTTTCCCGCTTCAGAATTTGAAATTGATGACTTTTAGAGTCCCTTCTAGAATGATACTTATGTCATATAAGAAAGGGAGGCATATGGAAGCTTAAGGGACTGGCAAAGCACAAGAAGATTATTTATTTAATTCAAATTTTTACCTGCCCATCTAGTGGCTAGGCCATTACTCTGGGCAGTTTACAATAAAAGCATCCACAACACAAACCAAGATTCAATAATAAACAACAACCAAGACATTGAAAGAAAAAGCAGACAAAACCCCAAATTCGGTTAAATCTATAATACAATACTCAATAGTAGCAGTCCAATAATCAGTCAAAAATGTGGGTCTTCAAAAATGAAGAGATGATAAAGAAATATATATATTTAAATTAAATGGGCAGAAGTAAAATGCTTGAGTAAAGAGCCAGGTCTTTATTTTTTATTTTTTGCCTAAAGCCAAGGAGGGTTGGGCCCTGACATACTTCTACAGGGACAGAGTTCCATAGCAGGGCAGCCACCACTGAGAAGGCCTGGTTCCTAGTAGTGGTTTTTAAGGCCTCCCTTGGAGTGGCCACCCATAACATCATTGCTTGGGAAGTACAGGTGGGGTGAAACAGTCTGACAAGTAACAATTTCCCAAACCATTTAGGACTTTGAATGTCAGCAAAAGCACCTTGAATTTGGCCCAGAAGCACATTGGCAGCCAGTGTAAACTCTCCAGGATTGGTGAAATGTGATCATATTTTGATATTCCTGATACCAGCCTGACTGCTGAGTTTTGTACTTACTGTAGCTTCTGAACCACCTTCAAGAGCAGCCCCACAGTGAGCACTGCAGTAGTCTATCCTCAAGACTACCAGCACATGAACAAGTGTCATCAGGAACTTCCCATTAAGATAGGAGCAGAGGTGTGCAATCCGCCTCAGTTGAAAGACAACAGACCTGGCCATGGCCAAGATCTGATTCTCCATAGTGCTGGGTCTGGGAGGACACCAAGATTACAAGTCTGATCCTTCAGGGGCAATGTGGCTTGATCTAGACCAAGTAAAGGGCCTCCGAGTCATTCTGGGCTCACACCCAATAACAGGATCTCCATCTTGACAGGATTCAATTTCAACCTATTAGCCCTCATCCAGGCTATAATGGAAGCCAGGCAGCATTCCAGTGTCTGCACAGCTTCATCTGCTGAAGATGGAAAGGAGAGATAGTTGTGTGTCATCAACATACTGATGACAACGCACTCTGAATCCCCAAATGACCTCTCCCAGCAGCTTAAATAGATGTGGAACAGCAATGGGGAGATGATGACCCCTGTTGTACAGCTCACCATATTGTAGTACTCACAGGGGCGAAACAACACCCCAAAGCTGAATCCTCATGCATGATTCTTCCTTGAAAGCCTTATGGTGGCAAACCTCAATATACCTAAGCTTTGCTGAAATCAAAATGATTTATTCCAGTTATATGTAAATTTAAAGCTGTGCAGCCTGATGCTCTGTATGTTTACTGAGAACTTTAACTTGTTGCTTGGTAAGATATGCATAGAATTGTAACTTTTGAAGCAAACACTAATTTAAATATGTGATTACATTCAATGTTTTTCTCTTGATTTTTAAGTATCCCTAGTGGATGCTTAGCCTACATGGTGAGAATATGATACATGTGGTGTTTAATTTTCTTTGGAAAAAACTGCATGGGGGAATGACTAAATCCCCAACATAATTGATTTTGATTGGTATTGGGGTATTCATTTTTATTTTTGCATAAACACTGACTTGTCACAGTGTGTAGTTCAGTTCTTCGTCAGAAGGCACAAAGATTCTATAGAACTTCTGAGGAAACATGTATAGAATTAACCTGTTACAAGGATTCAATAAGATGCTATAAGGAAAATCTTGTGTGATGAACAACACTTGATTTTATGAGTTCTCACATGCAATCTATTGAAAGTTTACGCAACAACATTCTTGGGAGAGGACTACAATTGTTACGGATGGGACCTTTAGACTACAACTCCCATAATTCTCAATTTTAGTTCTACTTGAGAAGCACATAGCTCAATGTGGCTCATCTGGGAAAAGGGCCTAAACTGGAAGGCTTTGAGGTGTAACTCTGCCCAAGCGTCCTGTTCCATTGCTAGGTGGCAGCTTTCTTTCTGAACAGGAAGCTAGGCAGAACTAGGCTTCACAATCTTCCAGTTTAGGCGTATCTCCCAGGTCAGACACATTTAGATATATCTTACAGGCATTCTCCCAAAATGAAGAAGTAAAAGATCTGTAGTTTAAAAAATCTCACCCTACTAACTGTTGCTTGCATGTTTGGCTTTGGCCTTTGACACTTTGGAGACTGACATCAGAGTGGACCCTACACCAGTTAAGGAGAAGTAGATGATCCTTGGGGAGGGAAGAAGCAATAATGGCAAGAATTTCCTGGTATGTTGTTGTCTCTCTAGATAATACAGTTTTGGGAATTATTACTGTAGGTCCAGTCTCATGTACTCTTGCCATTCAGAGAGAGAAGGAGGGATGACAGCACTTGTTCCCTGTAGCATTTTCCTCTATTACCTGCTTTTGCTTCCTCATGCTCTGGGTGGCTGTGAGGAACGACATCTAGCACAACCAGGCAAAAGGAACCCTGGGAGCGTTTAAGCCAGTGGGCATAGCTCCTTTTTGTGGCAAATGCTTCTTCAGCAACCCTCTTGGCACAGAGCTCAAACCAAACAAGCCCACCAAGAAATGGTGACAAGTACGTTGTGCTGCTTCGTTCAGCAAATGACGGGAAGGAGTGCATTTTAAAGTCTTAACCAGGTTTTCCTTCTCTCTTCAACCAGGAAGAACGAAACCTTACCAGATTCAATGAATAAACTGAATTGGCCATCGAGTTTGGTCACGTTTTATTCTTCCCTTCCCGGTTGATTGGTAACCTAAATTGTACCCCAAAAACAGCCACTAGGTGAAGTGTGTGTGTGTTACGGGATCTCGACGTAGAAACTGACTTGCTGCAACCCAGACAGAGCTTTCAAGGTAAGTGAGGTATTTAAGGAGCGGTTTTACTAGTCTCCCCACCCCTCTTGGTCAATCTCCAACGGTTGGGCAGGAATTTAAACCCAGTTCTCCAAAATTCCAACCCACCACCCTGCACTAGGTACCCTCCGTATACCGTCGCTGACGGAACAGGCCACAGCCGTTCACGAACGGGGCCCTTCTCGTTGGCACCCCTGGCCCGCTCTCCACCAGGGCTGACCCGAGAGAGATGCGAGGGCGCCGTTTCTTCGGCTGCGCCCTACAAAGACCCACCCATGGGGAGGAGGGGGGAGCTTTCATGAGCAGCAGAGGCAGGCCCACGGCCACTGAGATACGGGAGTGGGTGGTTTTCCTGGCATGGTGGCGGCAGATGCAAAGGACCTCCCCTCAGGAGGCGATGAGAGCGAGAAGGAAACAGAAAGGCTTGGGCCTGCATCGGAAAAGCGTGAGGGGCGAACAACACGAGCTTCTCTGCCTGAAATCTGCTCTAGTTACGTGTAATATGTATGTGAAAAGACTCATGATTCCCCCCCCCCAAAAAAAAAGTTGCTAAAGTGAGGGGAAACTTCTGCACTTCGGTTGCCTTTTATTGCAAGGCCTCTGTGCCTTTCTCTTTCCGCGCTCTCGCGGGCAGCTGCAGGCCGCAAAGCCAGCCGTTGGATAGGAAAGGAAGGCGGGAAGAAAGCAAGCGCCGGCCACCCAGAAATGCTCTTCTATATGAGGGAACGGCACGTTCAGCCAATGAACAGGGAGTTTGTTTCTGGGCGCCTGCGCGACCTCGCGAAGTCTATAAAAGGAGGCCGCGCGGGAGCGGGCCTTCCCCCTCCGGCTAGCGCTGAAACGGCTGTGTCCGTTTGTCTGTCAGAATCTGCGCGGGAGGGGAGGAGCCGCGGCTGTTGCTGACGCCGCCTTCGGAACACCAGTTAACAGAGGTTGGTTTCGGACCCCGACTCCGACGGGCCGGATCGGCATTTAACGTGAGTCTCGGCCCTCCGTGGGGTGGGGGAGTCGGGTAGGGTCAGCCCCCCCCTCCCGAGAGGCCTTTCCGTGCAGCGGGTCGGGCGGGGGCGGCTGAGGCGCAGGAAGTGCGCGCGCGCGGGCGGCGGTGTGTGCGTGTGCGTGCGTGCGTCTGCCTGCCTGCCTGCAGGCGCCTTCCTTTCGCTTCCCTCCCGTAGGCCCCGCTGACGGGGCGATTTCCGTTGCTCTCGCTCCCACTCAGGTTCCCAGCGGCGCGGCGAAAGAGCGAGGATGGCCGAGGTGGAGCACCAGCTCGGGACCACTCAGAACGGGCACGAAGCGGCGGCGGCGGCCGAGGGCCCCGCGGGTGGGGGCGACGAGGAGCAGCAGCCCCAGGAGCAGCCGCCGACGCTGGAGGAGGAGGAGGACGAGGAGGAGGAGGAGGTGGTGGCCGCCGCGGTGGTGGCCGACCCCGGCGAGGGAGACGGAGAGGGCGAGGGCGACGAGGCAGGGCAGCCCGCCACCTCCGCCGAGGCCACCGGGAGCCAGAACGGAGCCGAAGGCGACCAGATCAATGCCAGCAAGAACGAGGAGGATGCCGGGTGAGAGCCGGGCGCCCGCGCTTTCCTTGCCAAGCGTTCCGTCCTCGGCGGCGCGCAGGCCCGCTTAACCCGCTCGGCCTCCTTTTCGGGAGAGGGGCGGCGGGGGCCGCCTTGGGGGGGCGCTACCTTGCTTTGGGGGGTGGCCCTGATGCGGACAACTCGGCCGGGCTGGGCTGCGGCGGCGGGACCGGCTCCTTTGTTCTCCTCG